ATATTAGTGAACTGTAGAGGTGCTGGTATACACACACATTTAGTGTTAGATAAACTGCTGCATGATAGCATTTTAAATTAAAATAAAAAGGTATGTGTTAATCAATTACTTTGTCTTATATAAATATTACATTATATATGAATGAAGGCTCATCGTTAATTCCGTTTTTTATTAAATTCAAACCATGCATGTCCCATTCACATATTTACACTGAGAAAAATCACAAATAATTAGATCAAAATACCAAATAAAGTCACGTGAGCTCTTCAGTCTGGGTGAGCAGCTCTTTTTGTAAAGACTCTGTTGGAGAGGCACAAGTATTGCTGAAGTTGTCTGTGAGCGGACTGACCGGGACTGAATGCAGCATCCGATGCTGACGGAGGACGGTTTTTGACTTTGAGTTGAAGGGAATAAAGTAGTATGATATTTTTTTGCCAGATTTGGCTGCTGCCACCCTGGTCATAAGTCAGCTAACGTTAGCTGGACAAGCTAACTAGCTAACGGCATCTAACATATTAACACTGTTCAGAGTTTCCAGGTGGACTAAAAGTAGCTAACTGACGCCTAGCTACTTTTAGCAACAAGTCCACCTGGAAACTGTGGTCTGCACCTCGGTACAGCAGCTACATTAGCAGTTAGCCGAGTTGAGGCAGAGCAACTGAAGGACTTCAGAGGGAAAACTAGACAATATCTTCTCCATAAAATATGATCCAGTTTAACCAAAATCACAAATAAAAATTTTGTTTTATGGGAAGACAAAATGATTGGGTTTTGATATAAAAATACAATATACCCATATATTGTCAAATAGGGGGTACGATATAACTGAGGACGCACTCTTAATGTCCAGGTGAAACTTTAATCAAAGCACTGTTTTTACAGGAAATGCATAAATATGCAGAAGCAAACAGCACTCTGATTTCTGTTTCATGACTAAAGCAGATAATAAAATCTAAGTAAGTGATTTGATCTGAATAGTTTCACTGATTTATGTAGATATCAGTGTAACACAAACCCCCAGAATTTATAAGTTTAACAAACACACTGTAGATGAAATTCAGTGTGATAAGATTTTAAATTAAAATTTAAAAAAAAGGAACTTTTAACATATTTATTGTCTTACATATATTATATTATCTTACAAGGGGATATCATTTATTAATATAAATAATCATCATTAATTGATTTAAAAAAAAAAAAAAAAAAAGAAGATGAGGAAAACCTCCCAAAATCATTAGCTCATTAGGATAATGGGAAGAAACTTTGGGAGATTCAAAGAGATATCCCCCCTCCTCGGACTCGGAAGAATGATTTGAATTTGTCTCCGGTCTTCAGCTGAGGTTTTGGAGGAAAATCTGTCTTGATTTGTCTCCAGACAACTTGACTCGTTTTGTCTTCTTGGCCACCATGTTCGGCAGGTCTTCAGATCGTTAGTCCTTTTTGACGTCTGCCAGTTCGATCCCCAGTTTTTCACTGTCACTTCCTCTCTGCTGTTACTGCCTTCAGCTTTTCTGTCTGGTCTCTGACCGTCGCCTGGCACAGGATCAACTGCTCAGCTACCTGCGTCAGCCTTTCCTTCAGCTCCTCACACAGCTTCTTTGTCTTTGTCAGCTCTTCAGTCTGGGTGAGCAGGTCTTTCGTTAAGGACTCCATTTTGTGGAATGGCACCTGCTGGCTGGGTGGTGGTGGTGGTGGTGGGCGAGGTTTGCTCTGTTGGACTAGTACAATTTTTCCCCGGATGGGACTCACCTGAGTGAGTCTGATGTTGAAAGAAACAGAAGACAAGAAACATCACTGATGATGCATCCCAGCGCATCCTAGAGATGTATTAAAACTTCAACATTTAATTATCTTAAAAGGGTTATAATTTATTCATATAAATTATATATATTTAATATAATAATAAGTTGTTTTTGTTTTGTTTTTTAAAATAAAATTCAAATCCTGACCCAGCATTCTCTCTCTTTTATCACCTGGTTCAGCTGTTCCTTCAGGTTTTGCTGCTCGGTCCACTGGCTGACAGCACCTTGCTTCACGAACTGCAGTCGACCACCTGCTGGATTTTTATTTTTGAACTGCATAACACCAGTTTTCAAAGACTCAACTGTCTTCTTGAGGATCTCATTTTCCTTTGTGAGGGCTTTGTTTGTCTCTTGCATGCAGAGATATTCCCGCTCTGCATCGGGAAGGGTTAATGTCAATACATAATGATGATAAGCTGACATGCAATTGCTGGTTATGAGGCTCACGTTTAACTTTTTGAAAGCACTCTATCTTTTTGAAGTTCTTCAGGCCTACACTGGGTCTCAATGAGATTTGAAATGTAAAGGTTTATATATTACTCTCTTTTCACCGTGTTGTTCGATGTATAAGGACACAAATTGACATTGTGACAGTCTAACAAGAGTTTACGCAATAAGAGTTAATGCAATGAAGGACTCATTCTACAGCTGAGCAGCTTCCTATTTGGGGTTCTGTTCCAAAGTCGAGTCTTAAATCTAAAGTTGACCCTGCTTTTGCCATCAGAGCCCCTCAGCTTTGGAACGACCTTCCTGAGGAGCTACGGTTCGCAGAATCAGTGACTTCTTTTAAATCACATTTTATGTGATGTCTTTATGCTATTTTTCTGTCTTTCTTTATTTTTAGGTCTATAATCTGCTTTTATTGTATTTATTTTGTGTATATTTAACACTTTATCACAGCTATTACTTTAACCACCCTTATTTTTCATCAATAGTGTCTTGCCTCTACAATGTTTTTTCATCTTGTTCTTTATTTCTGTCTTTATTTGGCCTCAGTGCCTGACTGTTGTTATAATGCCTTCTGAGTGTCCTGTTCTTGCTTTGTCTGTCAAAGCATTTCGTGAACTAACTATATGAATAAAGTTCTTATTTTTAGTTGATATTTATTATTCTGCATACATACATAGACAAAAATAAAAATGACATTTTTATTTTGATGTATAAGACATACACACACAGGTGACAGGTGTGTTACAGTCATTTTAAATGTATATTCAGCAGGAAGACTGTCATAAGGCTTATAGACATTTTTAAGAAGATTTGAAGAAGATATATATTTTATTAATCCCCCTATTGGGTAATTATTCTTTTCACTCTTTTTTATTCTTACTCACACACACACATGCTGAAATACACACTTCATGCACTTGTGGACATGCAACAGGTAGAGTGATGGTGGAGTGATGGGCTCGCCACGTTAGCGGCGCCCATGAGCAGTTTGTTGGGGTTAGGTTGCCTTGCTCAAGGGGACCTCGGCAGAGCACAGGAGGTGAAACTGGCACCTCTCCAGCTACCAGTCCACACTCCATATTTTGTGGTCTGTGGGACTTGAACCGGCAACCCTCCGGTTCCCAAGCCAA